TCTGCAAAGATTCCATCTATTTTATAGGAAATGTATTTCGGTTTGAGTGGTAGGATCATATTATATATGTCTGGATTCTGCAATGATGAAAAATCAGCGTTATTGAAGGTAATAGGTGGAAGATGATATTTTAGCCAGGATATCATAAAATCTCTTCTTGAATTTGAGTTAGGTGCTCTGTTTAGTTGTACATTATGGTAGGGAGCTTTATCAATGACAAAGACAATTTTGGGGAAGGTTAGTAATAAGTCGCTCCTTTAACCACTTTTCATAATTGGTCTAGTTCATGTCACTGTGGTAGTCTCCTGTTTTTTGGTGGGATTTGAAGTGGACATAAGCATTAGGGTTGAAACGTTGCTCTCCCCCTGCATGGATAACAATGAGCCGTTGACCTTTGGACACGGGAAAATTATCCCTGGATGGATCCATCACTCCATGCATATGGGGTGGTGTGCGATGAATGAATATAGGTTTCACCCATGTAGAAGTTTGTGCGGCCCTCTTCCCTATATTCTTTAATTTGCCGCAAATACTGAAGACGTTTGGCTCTGATATTATATCGTTCCACCAGTATCTGCCGATTATTTTCTGTTTTCTTCCAGCGGAACCCCAGTTTAAAAATAATTTTCTTTAATGTGGAGATGCATCCCTGAAAATCTAGCGTTTTCTTCAACTTTTTGTGAACTTTTTTCAGGGTAGGTCTCCGTTTTTCGACTATGTAGAAGTCATTAATTGTTGTAAGATTTGAGGCTTTCACGGCGGTGACTATGAAGAAAGCAGTCTTCTGGGATTTGGCACCGTGTATATGTGGTGTTAACCGACGTTTCGGAGGAACGTATCGCCCCCATCTTCAGGGTAGAAGAAAAAGTATAAGAAATCTGTTACCGTTTCTCACGGTGTTGTTGCTTGCAGATTTCTTATACTTTTTCTTCTACCCTGAAGATGGGGGCGATACGTTCCTCCGAAACGTCGGTTAACACCACATATACACGGTGCCAAATCCCAGAAGACTGCTTTCTTCATTAATTGTTCTTTGCACCACAGACTCGTTAAAGTCGTAAGGTAACGTGTCACAATATTTTATGCAGTAATTAGAGAATAATACACTCAAATACGACTCCAAGAGTCAAAACTTTTTAACTTGAGTGTACAAGGAAGAATGCTCTTGAGATATCTGCTTGCACTGAATGCAGATGAATGACTAATCACAACACCCCTCAACTTTCATGAATGGACCTGCCAATCCACTGCACAGCTTTTCCTGGACTGTCACTTCTAAATACTAGAACTTTAAATGCAGTTAACAGAAAAACCCACAGTACTTTTTCTCAAATTAAATTTCAAGCAATTGCAATTTTACCAGTATATAATTTGAAAGCCTGTTATTTCCTCTAAACAGCATTATGTTACACTTGATACCATCTGTTGACAGATCTGTCTGATCTCTTCAGCAACAGAAGTTTTAATGCAGGTCCCCATGGGTGGTAAATGTTTGCCTAGCAGAAAGGCTTGCTCTGTATAATTTCTGTCATAGTATATAGCTATGGTTGAGCCTACTATGTATCTTAGGCTGTTGTAATCAAAATATATTTGAATTTATAATTATTTACTAATTAATATAAAAATATGTGTTTACATTAATTGTATATAAGAATTTGAACATTTGAAAAAAGTCCTGTCATATCAAGCTCTGGTGCCATCAGAATCATTAGGCGAACCACTCCTCTAGTACTAGCTGCCTACTGTTTGAAACCTACTTACTCTTTACCATTACACCCTGCTTAAAACTTGAGCCAACCATGTATAATGTTACATATGCTTGTTTCTGGTACAGTCCAGTTGTAAAGCTGTATGTAGGCCAGCATATTTCAAGTGTTCTGTCATCTGTTTTCATGGTTAATATGAAGAATTGGAAGTAATGAAGTCTTTAATGTTAACAAGTTACCTTCTTTTTTTCAACTGAATATAGTAAAGGAAAATATATGGTTACAGCAAATGTTTGCTTCTAAATGGCTGGGTTAGACGGTGTTGTATGATAGAGGTATTGACTTGCTAACTTGTTATAATACTCATGTAAAAAATAGGACAGATGTGCAGCTTTTTTCAGAAGTTGTAACTCAAAAGGCTTATCTGACAAAAATGTTACAGGAAATTGTCTTCGGGTATATAATGCCATGTAGTCCATTGAAAGTCAACAGCATTTTGGAAGAGCTTGTTGCCTCCATCTTCAGGGTGCTTGCTTTATGCTATTTTTCTTGCTTGTCTTACTCTTCAGCCCTGAAGATGGAGGTGACATGTAAGCTGTTACTTCTAGCATTCAAAATATGAAAAAATGCTAAGTAAATGGCAGTTCAACTTTAGTACAGTCTTAACTATCAAAATATCAGCCAATACTTCTAAGGTTAATAGAAAATTTGCATAAAAGTGTAGCAAATGTAAGTGAAATGCCAGTGTTGAGGAGAAACTAGATTCAGTTCTTTGTCTCTTTTCTTTCAGGGTGTTAGGTCAGAATTCTATTGTCAGGATACAGGCTGGAACATTTGATGAACTGGTCTCCTTGAAGCGGCTGTAAGTATGTCCAGTGTGACTGTTCTCATATACACCATACATATACACTTCTGTTCCTTTTATTGTTATGGACAGTTCTGTGAAATGTACTGCGTGCTCTAACTTTAATATTTTTAGTAAGAAATTCCACACAAAGTACTACATAAAAGATGGGCACTGGGCAACCAGGAGTGTCATGTCCATTGTCACCTGACCACAAGGTTAGCTTCATTTTTTGAAGAATTCCCAGTCTGTTTTAATTTTGAGAACAATTCAAATGAGATTACATTCCTAAATGTATGGAGATAATAGCAGTGATACAAAACATGTCCCTACTGGTTTGACTTCAAGTGCAGGTTCAGTGCAGTATATATGCCCTGTTCAAAAAGTTCTGGAACTATTTTTTATAATTCTTTGGCACATGTCTGCAACTGAGTGAGCTTTGTCTCCTTCGAAGTACTCCCCTCTTGCATTGGCGCACTTCTCCCAATGTCGTTGCATCTTCTGGAAACAGTCCTGGTACACCTTTTTTGGGATCACACATATCTCCATCTGTGAATTTTTCATAATCTCTTGAATCATCAGAAATCATCTTCCTTTCAAGGTGGATTTCAGTTTGGGAAATAAGAAAAAGTCTACCAGAGCCAGGTCAGGTGAGTAGAATGGCTGAGGAAGCACAGTTGTGTTTGTGTTGGCCAAAAAGTCACAAATCAGTAGTGATGCATGAGCTGGCACGTTGTCATGATGGAGGAACCAGGAGTTGTTTCTCCACAACTGAGGTATTTTTCGCCTGACATTTTCTCTTACACGTTTCTGCTATTTTCCACACTGTAAAATTATGATTAGAATGCATGATTTCAGGAACTTATGTAACATGCGTGTGATCACATGATGTTGAAGGCTGTCCCAAATGCAGCTTGTGTGTTGACTGCTGATTGTCTAAAATCACATAAATCGTTCATAACAATGTGGATGGTTCATACACTGATCACCATAAACGATTTTCATCATTTCTGGAGTCTCTGTAAAGGTTATCCCTAATTTGAAGCAAAGTTTAATGTTAATAGGTTGCTCATGAATATTAGCCATCTCGAATATCGCAAGACACACACCACACATAGGTGAACAAATAGCTCTAGAACGATGACTAATCACAGCAGGATGACACAGCAAAAAGGATGATAATTAGGAAGCAGGTGACTGGGCAACATAACTTAAAAAAAAATATTCCTAAGTTGTTGAGTTGGTGCCCCATTTCAGAAGTTCCAACTTTTTGAACAGACCACATATGTAAGATATGATGCCATTTGTGATTGGCTGTGAAGTTTTGTTCCATAAATACAAGGCAGATGAAATGCAATAGGTCTCAAGCCACTTTATGTCATATGTCAGCTCTCCAGGAAGGTTGTAGTATGGGAGCAGTGCTGAATGGCCTGTGAGAGAAAAATGGCCAGCATAAAATAGTCATTAAAAACATGTATAGTCTGCAACCAAATATGCCAGAAATTCTCCCTCTGTGTTGAGCTTTTTAAACTGTGTAATTATGTTGTGTTATTGTGCAGCCAGGTGCACTGAGTTCAGTGATATGAGCAGTTTAACCAGTTGTGGTTTAGAGCTGGAAACCACATGAAGATTTTGGGCAAAGCAAATGCAGGTTTCACTACATCTGGCACAGTTCTCACCAGTATGTATTCTGCAGAGCAGAGCCCAGGTAGCTCAGTCAGAGTAGTGACTAGCTATGGACTGGACAGCCAGGTTTGATTCCTGGCAGGAGCAGTGACTTCTTTTCATCACTGCATCTCTTCTAGCCCTGTAGGCTATCCAGCCTCCTATCCAGTAGGCACAGAGGGCTCTTTCCATGGGCATAACGTGGCCTGATCGTGAAGTGGACAACCCACCGCTATTTAGTGCCATTGTTATAAATGTGTGTGCTTATACCTCTATTTAGTGGCCTCTGTAGTCTAGAGGTAACGTTCCCACCTCGTGACTCAAGGTACGCGGGTTCAAACCCGGCGGAGGTTGTGGAATTTTTAAGGGCGGAAAAATTCAGAGAACAAGTCCTCCAGGAGGGACTTTAAGCAGTGGGTCCCATGTCGTAACTTTACGGCACGTAAAAGAACCTCATGTCACAAGGGGACCACTGAGCCAAATTCAGGACATTTCCCACCCAACAGTAGTCTCTAATGCCTCTGGTAGATGGGGGAAGCATCGAGATACCGCTGAGCCAGTAGAGGCCGAACTTGCTGGCTGAGTCGGGACTGATGGCACACACCAGTACCGGTAGGGAATAGAGACTGGTAGAATATCATAGGGGTATGCACAGTGGACCAACAGTTGGTCTAAGTGCATGGGGAAAACCCACCCTCTCCAATACAATACAATATACCTCTATTTCACTGTACATACAGGTGTCCAGATGTAAGGTATCCAAAATAAAATAATTATAGCTCAGAAAGCTTTTATTATACACATTTATGGGTTACACCACTACAAAGGGAAACTACCAAAGTTTATTTCTGAGTATATAACTTTCTCAATAAATTTCAACATGGGCTACCTTGGTGGGACAACAAATATCCAGATGATCCAGCATGTTTGGTGTTACCGTAGGCACAGCATCCCTTATGTGGGCTTTCAGGTGTTGCAGGTCGTTAATCCTAACCTGGTAGACAGTGTTCTTCACATAACCACACAAGAAAAATCCACTGGGGTTAAATCTGGGGACCTAGGTGGCCAAGCGATTGATTCACTTCTGCCGATCCATCTCCCAACCATCACGCTGTCCAAGAGATTCCTAACATGGTGGCAGAAATGTGGCGGTGCATGTGCGTAAGCCGGGCATGGAAAAAGAACTTATAGGGTTTTCCTTTCCGATGACATAAACCGGATATGTGTATGACAATTACTTTCTGAGGTATAAATTTTTTATTTTGGATACCTCTCATCTGGACACCCAATATTCTTGTATGTGATACATATCTAATTAAGCAGAAAACCTTTGCATTGTGCGTTCTGAATGATCAGTGCCTGGTGTCTCAAAGAATGTGTAAGGAATGTAAGTTTTGAGGTTTTCATGGCGATGACTATGAAGAAGGTTGTCTTCTGGGTTTTGGTGCCGTGTATTATTCGTTTTGGCCGATGTTCCTCTGAAACGTCGGCCAAAACGAATAATACACCTACTGCTCTGTATTCACAAGCCATTCACCTGCTCTGAAGATGGAGGTGATACGTTCCTCCGAAACGTTGGCCAAAATGAATAATACACAGCACCAAAACCCAGAAGACGACTTTCTTCAATGTGTAAGGAAGTTGGAACATTTCTGACACTGGTTTATTAAGTACAGAAAACTGTTCCCCAGACATATTCATTTCCAGGATTGGAATGTTTGGTAGCAGTTGAACTGCTTTACCAATTAATGTGGTGGGTGTTTATGTTTTCATTATATAAATTTATGAGGTCATGTCAGACTCACCATATGTTCACTGATACTAATGATTGCATATTAAAGAAGCTGGTATCAAGTATCTGTGCTAGAAGTTGTTTGTAGGATTCATTTCTTTTCATATAAATTTATTATATCAGTACTTTTCATTGAGTTGAAGTTGCTCTAAATTTGAGGTTCTCAGAAGACTTAAACTCTTCCAATTTTATGAAGAGCAACTCATTGTGAAGATAATTTATGCATGGCAAAATATAGGTCTCATTAATATTTACAATTTTTATTTGGAACATTTTTAAATACAGCTCATATTTAAATACGTTAATAGAATAAACTCTATTCATCAGTGAAGTAAAATACAGTTCATTAGCTTTGACAGAAGTGGAACAATCACTGCATTGCAATGTTGTAATTGGTAGTCATGTCTTTCAACAGTAGATTTGTAGATTTTTACCTGTAGCAAATAAACATCAACACCAAGAAAGTAAGCACAATTTCAGAGAACCTGTTTTGGCAAATGTAAACACTATGTAATTTGGGTACACATTTCCCCTCTTGATAACATGTTTCTTATGTTGCCACCTAGGGACCTCTCAGGCAACCCTCTGGTATGTGACTGTGAACTTAGATGGCTTCTGGAGTGGGTTCAGAATGTGTCTGTAAAATTAACATCATCACCAAAATGTGGAGGCCCCCCTGCTTTAAGAGGACAGCCTATCCGCAAGCTGCAGCTAGATACAGATTTACATTGCAATTGGACTTCTGCTGGATCACACAGTGGAACTCTGTTGGAACTGAAGCCAGCTCATAGTCAGGTATGAAAATGGATGATTTCAGTTATGAGATTATCTGTTTATGTTGCTTTCACTTCTGAGCTTTTTACTTTCCTCGCCTCTACCCATCATGCAAGAGTGAGGTTCTGTTATTCCCAACATTGATGGTCCACAAAGTGACAAATTTATTTGCATAATTTACATATCTTTACCTTCAGACAGTAATTAAGTGCCTCATTCCTGCCTCCCCTCCAACTTTTAGCAATACATTTTCAGTTAAGTATATTGTGACATGTTGCGCAACGGAGGACCCCTACCTCTCCAGCAGCACGTGGCGATAACGTAGCGCTCGTAATATGCGAGTCATCACCCCGCTACTCTCCCTGCGGTGACGTGCCGAGCGGAGCCGAAGTGTGCCGAGTGGAGCTGAAGTGAGCCGAGCGGAGCCGAAGTGAGCCGAGTCCCCGCAACCTGGTAGCTGTGCAACGTGAGTCAAGAGCGGTGACGTCACCAAGGGATATCGCGGTTGCTAGGCAGCAGTCAACAACTCCGGACAGCGATACTAGAAACATGGCACCAGACGACAATGGTCCAGAACGAGGCTACATAAGGAGCAGCGAAGGCTATTCAGAGTTCGTCCTCGAGCTACCTCCGAGTTAGTTCTGAGTTAGCCAGCAACCAGTCAGTTGTATTCTGGCACTTGGAGTGTAGTATTTGTGATACTGCAGGTAGCAGTAATTGTGAATCTGCAATTTGGGTGATTGTAAGTACGAATGTGAAATAAAATTCGCTACATCAAATACGGCGTGAAGTTATTTGTCGCGTTATACACCCAATACATTACAATATATTAATATAATTAATTAATTAATCACATAATCTGTGCCTTTGTGTATTACCCCTCTCCTATTTATGTATTGTCAGAAAAGATGCATATCAAGGCTTTAGAAACATGCACACATGTGATCACACTTGATCAACACATTAAATAGGCCAAGGGCACCTGTCATTGTCATTGGGCAGGTGGCGAGACATAGACTGCTGGGGCGGAAGGGAAAGAGGCAGAGGCTAGGAGGCATCCACTGTGGTAGAACTCTCAGTTGATCACATCCATCTACTTTTTTTCTCCTGGCATATGTGCAAAGTGTGAGCAAATATGGTAGATTTTTAGAATGATGTGAACTTTGAACAATGGTGGGGCCCTGGTATTTGTCATATTCACAGATTTTTTACTATGTCAGAGGTGAGAGATGGGTAAGGGATGCAGGAATGTCTGCATATGATCCTGGTGGATTAAAACCAAATGCTTTTTGGAGCCCCAAAATCCTATTCCTAGTTTATCACGTCTCTTACATGAGATTGTCTTAAGGTGTGTTGGCTCTACCCTGACGATGGAAGCAGCAGGTTCCTCCAAAGCATTAGTACCTGTCTACCAAATTACACAGTTATCACATTTCAGAAGACAGTCTTCATAGTTATCCCTAGGAGAAGTTGTTGAGACTTTTCATTCTGTGTTTATAAAGCACAGGTGAAATTTTTTTAATTGGTTTCAAAAGTTGAAAGCATACACATGTATGCACACATGTAGAGCATGGTGACCTCGTAAGTCTGCTTTTTTCTTATTTTCCTTAAATTAGGAGGGAGTGAGATAGGGAAGGAACCACTGGCTATTTCTACAACCTTCTTTCACTTCTGGCTGCTACTTAATATCATCTCAGTGAAAGAAAAATACAAATGAACCAGTAAACAGTTCCAGTGAATCTCAGTGGTTATGTATTAAGGAAATAAATGGAATGCAGGCACTGAATGAGGCCTGTAACATGCATAGCTTTTCCTTGCTTAGACAGCCAGCAAATAATATGTGGTATAAGGCCAGTAAGGACTGCCTCTGGTCTAGTGGTCAGAGTTCCTGGATACAGATCCAGAGGTTGGGGTTCAGTTCTCTTCAGTACTAGATTTTCTGAGAAACAGTGGGTCTGGAACGGGATCCACTCAGCCTTGTGAGGATAATTTAGGAGCTAGGAAATAGCAGCTCCGGTCTAGAAAACCGAAATTAATGGCTGAAGGGATTTGTTGCGCTGACCACGCAACACCCTCCATCTGCTAAAGTTGGCACTAACTTCACCGACAAGTTGTGGTCGCTCGGTCAGTATAGTTCACTTGTTGACTAAAACCACAGAGTATTTTTTTTATAAAGAAATTAAGAAATGAATATATAAAGAATAATAATTAAACATGTGCAAATACTTTGGGTAAAGCAGGAGGTTTTGCTGCTAATTCAACTGAAACAACTCAGTGAATACCCAAAAGTTAAATGCAATAGATGAAGCTAAAAATCAGGTATAGAATTTACCAGCCAAAAAGAATTTAAAAGCGAACTGCCAACCATTGTTGCAGGTTTGAAATCTAAGACATGAGTGAACTTATAGCCTGTTGATAGTGATGTATATAAGGCCAAGGCCCAAAGGTGGAGGGAGAAAATGAAAACCTCCAGGTAAGAGTGCAAGAAGGGAATGGGGTGATTAGGAGGGGAGGTGACAGCTGGCTTGGAAAAATGTTGCTTCTGAGCCAGCCCACACAGCTCATCTGTGATAAATAATGAGACAAAACTTTAATAATTTTCTGTACTGATCAGGTTGTGTTTGCTGGTGATTCCCTGAAACTGCGATGTCGGGCTCCAACTGCAGGGACTATGGTAGGGGAAAGGAGCATCGCTCATGTGGTTTGGATGTGGGGCAGTCAGGATCCAGCTAAAGTATTTGACAAAATCCGTGTTGAAAACCGTTACATTGCGGATAGTGGTTTGGTTGAAAGGTATGTTCTGCTTTCAAAGTATTAATGTTGTTAATTAAAAATGCAGGTCTCTGTTCTCACCATTGCACACAGACATGATGTTTGAAGCATACTTTGTGTTACTGAGCATTTCTTAATACAGGAGTATGAAAAGGGAACTTCCTCAGTATAGGGTTCAGTGAAGGAATGCTGGTATATCAAATTGAAGTATTTATTGAATACAGTAAGGTAAAATATAGCAAAAGCAGTCGTGACATACAAGCAGTGCAAAACTATGGACCATTAGACCAGATGTGTTGAAAAGTAGGTCACTTATATAGAAAAATGCTATAAGTAAGGACTTTGTGATTATTCTGTGAAGTCTGTTATAAAATTACTTGTAATTGTCATTAAACTGTGTTTAGTTAGTTGATTACTTAATGATGCCATCATTATTGAGACTATTGGATGGTAAATGGTTAATGAAAGATTATTTGGAAAGTGTTTGGGAGGATGCGGTTATATCCTAATTGAGATACTAGCTAGAATTTCTCTGGAGGAGCTGAGATAAGTTATGTAACATCCGTCAGGATAACGGGCGTCTCAGCTGATATTTGAACCTACCACCTTCGGAATACAGGTCTGAAGCATAACAGCTAGACTGACCTGTTCAGTCACTTGCCTTTGTGTATGACAGAAACTGATAGTATACTTCTTAATATTTACCTCTCAGTGCTCTGCCAACTGAAATATCCCCAAATGTCATTGCAGGAAGTGTGTTAGTGGTTTACCATTTGGTTTAGTGTACTAAGAAAGCAGAAAGCCTGAAGTCACATTTATGATGAACTTCACCCCTACTTGCAATTCTAAATTTTATATTTGATGTGTATACATTCTTAGTTTTCACATATGTAATACCCTAGAAATATTAATGCATGTCTTTGAGAGGCCTAGAATCATTTTGTCTCTTAGCTTCAGTAATTCTTCTGATCCCTGATTATCTGGACTTCTATAAATGCTACAGAATATTTGTATATTAAAAATTTTCAGCTCACTTAGTATCAAGCATCTTCAGCATCATCACAGTGGGAAATGGAATTGTCGGCTTGTGTCAGAAGAAGGAAATCACACAGAAACCATTTCTGTGATTGTTATCTCAGAAGATACTCAATATTGTTCGCAGATAGGTAATAAACTGTTCAGGTTATTTCTTTACACTGTATTTATGGTACTACAATTTTTCTGCTTTTTTAATGTGGTAATAAGGTTGTAATGCTGAATTAACAGTTAGAATGTGTCCATTTTCATATAGCTTCTGCTTTGATAGTTATTGAAACAGTCATGAATTAGTCTTTTATCAAGTCTGCTAACTTTTAGTGATGTTAATAACAATACAACACTAAGGTTTAAACAAGGTCTTTGGGTAGCGCTCATACATTCTGCTTTCCTGTTGAATCAGTTTCTATTTCAACTAGACTTTATGTTGAATAGTTCCATCTTCTGGGTTCAGTGTTATGTAGTGTGTTGAATGTCGGTAAGGCCCTGTTTGCTACCTGCTTCATGTTGGTTTCTTCAATCTTTGACCCTGAAGATGAATGTGATATGTTCCTCTGAAACATCAGTTGACTTTCACTAGACTAAATTATATTAGCCCCAGAAGATAGAACTTTTCTGTCACCACTCTTAGGACCACAAATCCAACAGTGCTTATGTTGTTAATGCCATTGCCTTAACACAAGTCACATGTTTTTCCAGTATTTGTTATCATACATAATCAGTTGACACTCTTGTGACTCCAGTCTTATAAGTTTGTGCATCCAACATATTGTTATTACTGATTGTACGTAATTAAAAAGTACAGTGTAGTGTGGCTCCAAATGGCACAATATCCGTACCAGAGTTCATATAAATCAGCCAACTGGTTCAAAACTTGAAATGGATGATAAACATTGGGAGTGTGATTACTTTCTAAGCCTGCTTGTTTGCTTATTATGGAAGGAAAACAGCCTAAAATCAGTGCGAGTGTAACAATATTTGTTCCTTCTTGAAATTATCACAGCGATACAAAAAATTGAGGAATAATTTAACTTCATTCAAGTCTGTAGTATTTTTTGAACTGTGAAGTTAGATAGTTTTTTTTTAATTCGCTTAGTGGGGGGTGGAGTCCAGCTGGGTCCACTCGGCATGGCTGCCACTGATTGGCCTATTGTACCTGCCCCGGGTGATTATAATGATGGAGAATTTGGTGGAATAAAGATTGGCAGGGGAAACTGAAGTACTTGGAGAAAACCCGCCCCAGTGCCACTTTGTCCACCACAGATCCCCCTTGACCAGACCCAGGATTGAACCCGGGCCACCACGGTGGGAAGCCAGTGACTGACTGCTTGAGCTATGGTGCAACCAAATTACATAGTTTCTCATACATAACCAGTTGTACTCACAACTGATCAGTTATTAGGAACCATCCTTCAGAAGCATAAGTCCCTGTCACTAATTGCTGCAGACCTGCAATGCCTGAAGAAATTATAAGTTGAACCAAGTGTTATGTGTGTGTATGTGTGTATATATATATATAAATATATAGGCCAGTTCTGAACCCAACCAAGTATCCTGACACTTTGTGCATGCTGTTTTTTTTTTTTTTTGAGTGGTAAATCCAAGCTTCAAAATGCTGAAAGTTCTCAACCTTTAAGTGTGACATGCAGTTCTTTTATTTTGCCTTGCTCATTAATTCTTTCTTCAGTGTGACTGATAATTGATGATCAAAGCAGAAGCTATGAAATTCTTGGCTTTCCATGGCATGCTTAAAGACTGAGAACTTTCAGCAGTGATTTTTCCTGGCAAACGATCAAGAAGAGCATGTTTTCTGAATCTTCATCCTATGCATTGCACATTTGTTAGTGTGTCATTCCATTATCTCACTTCATATAGAGCAGCTTTTGTATTTGTTCTTCAGAACAGTGAATAGTGTCAGAGTCAAACCATACCATCTTCCTGTTTTGCTCTTTGACAAACTATCAAGCTTTCAGAGAGAGGTGTATTAAGTAAAGCTTCATATTCAAGTCTGAGCGCTTGTATATCTTGTCACAATTAAGACTGAATACTTGTAACTTTACACACAGCACAATCACAGAAATATTTCTGAGTCTGACTAGCCAAGCTACATAATAGTACTGAAACAAGATCCAGGAGTGAGGTTCAGATGATGTCACAGTATAGATTCTTATTAGCTAAATTTTGGAGGGAACTCTACCTTGAAGCCGTCAAGTGTATGTCTGAAAATATCAGATGGCCTTGCAACTTAACTAACTTGGCTATTATTGTTTGATCATGTATTAAAATGAACTTTTGCTTCAAAATCGTTCCCTTAACATTCTTGAAAGTAGGCTTTCTTCTTGACTAGGTAGAGGCACAGAGTGTAGGTTGATGGTACCTTCATGGACTGTGCTATAAATAGCTCGAGAAGCAAACTGGAAGAACAGTTGATGCAGAAGTTATGGAAAAAGTCATAGCTAGTTAAGAATTTATTTTGATGTATAAATGTCAGAAAATTGTTCCTGTTTTATGTTGGATTGTTCAGTGTATGTAAGTTGACGAGTGCACTATTGCACAGCTATTTGCATATATTTAATGACAGTAACTACATCCGCTGGAATTGTAATCCTTATGGATATATGGTGGACTAATAAATGAATGAACGAATGAGTGTGCTGATGGTTTTGTATGCTGTAAGTCATTCTTCTGTTGCAGTTATACTGCCTTATTTTAATCCAAAACATTTTTTTTTATTCTAGCAATAGTACATCGTTAACAATTCTAAACTCATAATATTTTGTATTGTCCCTGCCGTTTCTGTGTGTGTGTGTGTGTGTGAGATGAACAAAGTAACTCTCTGTTAGCTTGGGTAGCTGATTTACCTACTCAAGAAATTCCCCCTTACAAAATTCAAATGCATTCTCAGAAGCCTGCCATTTTACCTTTTCACTTTGGCCAGTCCACACATTCGTGCACTGTTTGTCTCAGATTCATTTTATTATTATCCTTCCATCTACATCTACCTCTTTTAAGCAATTCTTGATCTTGAGATTTTCCAGCACAACGTTTGTTTTCTCCATTCATGCTACCCAGTGCATGACCAGCTCTATGATTGCAGGAAAGAAATAAGCAGATAATATATTTCTCTTTTGGGCAGTGACCTCAAACAACAAAGGTGTATACACATGGCCAAAGACAGTTGTAGGATACACAGTGGAGCTTCAGTGTCAGGGAGAACAGCTGACCAGTATGGGGTTTAGACCCCCTCTCAGGGCTCAGTACACCTGTACAGAGTCTGGAGTTTGGGAAGGGCTCAATACAACAGTATGCCCTTATGTGAGTGAGACCACCAAGATTTTGGAGCAATTTTCTAAGGTATGTTCTTGTTGACACTTTTCTGTAATCGTGTTTTAATGTTTACTGTTCAGAGGTATACAGATATTCCTTGTATCTGATGAACATTATATCTCAAAATAATTATTTACTTCAGATATTGTTCTGTGTCACTATGGAGTATATGTGTATTAGGATAGAAATTACTTGATCTTGTACTTGTGGGAATGCCTCTTACGTGTGTGTATGTTGTTTATAACCATCTATGTACAAAAATGTCTCTGTCTTTTGTGTTGAAATGAAAGACCTTCTAAAGCTGTATGCTCAGGAAAGCCCTGCTATTACAAATATGCCCATTAGTGATGAATTCACCATAAGATGCATTATTTGATACACTGTCTTTTCAGTAATATTGTCACATGAGTGAGTTAATATATATAGGGTTTGGATTGGTAATTGTGTTTATTGAACTCTTACAGCTCTGTGACCACAAGTTTATAACTGTTTCACTAATTCACACACTTTACTGTTCACTAGAGCAGCCTAATATGTCTTCTCCAGCCTTCTGGTAACTCCTTCCTGCAGTTGATGTTCGCCATGGGTTCCTAACTGTCCTGCTTATAACTTCTCAGCACAGACAAAACAGAAAACATTGTTCCTCTGTTGCTGTTTACAGGCCATTGCCTACTTGTTTGTTTCATGGTCATTGCCTAGCAACGGGTCTATATGCTACACTATGTAATATTATGGTGTATAGACCCATTGATAAGGGGTGACTCTGTCAACAGTGACTGTTTCTGGGCAACCCCTTGGTAAGCACGTTCCTGCGGCAGCAATAGAGTTACTTTTGTAAATGGGGTGTTTCTTCGTGGTTTATGCCAAGATGTTATAAGCAAGGGGCAAAGTCAGTTGTTAAGCAGTTCTGCATGAGAGGCTGTGAAGACAAAGACAGAACCTGAGCATGTGAAGCTGAAGTATCTCCACTGTTAGAAGCCATTGCCAGGGAATGGCTGGTGAAGACACAGCAGGTTGGAAAAAACTTAGCGGGTGCTGTGGAGATTAGCGGTGGTTCTCTAATTGCTTGTAGTTCCCAGTTGTGTATAAGTGTTCAGTAAGTCCATTCACTAATTCAAACCTTGTCTGTAGTCACACACACATACTACATGGCAGTAGTGTCAAACTGTGTGGCTGTAGCAAGTGGTGTGTCAGGAAAAGGAGCATATAAACTGAAGTAATTTAAGATCAGCATTCTGTAACAATAAAAAAATGAAGTAAAGCTGTCCCTGTAACAGGCCGTGTGAGACATCGAAGCTCAGATCCCTGGTACTCATTTCTGTTAGAGGCTGAGTTGACCCCATGTCCGTAGTACAGCTGGAAGGATTAGGTCAATTGAGAAATCCAATGACCTAATCAGGATTGCACTTGCAGGCTTCCAACTTTTAGCATAGTGCCTCAACCAATTACACCACCACGTGCCCCTTCTGTAGCAACAGGAAAACTTTTACACTGATAGTTCTGATTTGAATTTTCATGCCTTTACTGATCAGGTCATATGTGCGGTACTTAATTTATTTTGGTTACTTAATTTTGAATACTTCTGTCCTCTTTCTGCTGTGTATGTTATTTGCAGTGAGGGCAATTTAATTAGAGTGGCATTGTGAAGTCATTTCTGTACACAACAGATGTCTAATCTGGCTTGAAGCACATGATTTTTACCACATGACAAGAATGGAAACTCATAAAGTTCATTTATTTCATAATTACTGGTCTTTTCTTCTTTCCTTCCTTCCTTTTGCTTTTTATGTATAAATGCTGTTTTGCCCTGTTACACATACTTTTTTATGACTCACATGAAGCAAGAATATCTTAAGTCTCCATGTTTTTTTACATATTTTATAATTGAGTTCACATTTTCTGAATTGTTATAGGTAAACCTAAGTGTGGCAAAAGGTAGTGTGCTGGAGAGTGCAAAGCGGTTAAAGAACTTCACTATCAGTGGGAAACAACTTCAAGATAAAATGGATGTGGTATTCATCTCTAAAACTATTGAAAATTATTTGGAATATGTTACAAAAGAGAGAGAGGTAATTATGTGAAGAGTGGAAAGGTGTGCTCTGTAATGTAGTACATAAAGTCATCAGTGACATTCTTTGAAGTTTGATTAAGTTGGGAATAATGGAATGCAAATTAGTTGAATGTTTTCCACACTGAATATTAACAATACTGTGAAATGGCTTATGGATTACATGGAAAAGTCCATTTACTGATTCATGTAAACTGAGTTTTTCATGGATCAGCATAGTTAAGAATTTGAGCTCCTCACCCACATGTGATGGAAGTTTCCCATATCGAATTCCAACAAAATCTGGGCTGTAAGGGAAAGTCAATTTGTGGCATTGTGTTAACCAGACTTTGTTATAAGTCGCTAAGGCTGGAAATCTGAATTGCCAAATAACATTTGGTGGGAATGTCCTATATCATATTTCAACAATATCTGTGAGATAGTTTTTTTTGGATACATGACAGTCAGTTTGTGGCTTTGTATAAACCAGACTTTATTATGAATCAGTTTGTCTGAAAATTGTAATTGCTTAACAACTTTTAGTAAAAGTCTCCCATGTTCTATTTGAAGAAAATCTGCAGTGGTGTAGGCACTGAAACTTTGTCAGACAAGTATGATCTTCGTGTAAGGAATTTTTAATCTTTTCTTTTGTAAAGAACACCAAAGAATGTGGAAAGTAATTTCACACCAAAATCATACTTCACATTTATTTTATGAGGAATTGGACAGCATTTGTGTAGCTCAGGATCATGACCACTAGCAGGTTTGAATATTAGTGGTGCTGAATCTTCAGGTTCTGCTACCAGAGTTAGATAGAAAGCACATACAGTCAGTATGTTCATAGAGTTGCGGCACCCACCTTGCATATTTAGAAAGTAGAGCAATGAAAGGGTTACTGACTGGTGATAACAGCTTGTAGTGACATTATGATTTGTTTGTAATATTGTAGTTGGGTTCACATCTTGTGGATATTGTAAGTACACTTATGCACCTGCCAAAAGAATTGCTGGCTGCAGCACAGGAGGAGGATAATGCATGCTCTCGCTTAGTAAGGGCTGTGGAGGCGGTGGCAGAGTTCAGCCCTTCATTGCAATCACACAAGGTATGCACATTACCCTACACTTTACTGTGTACTGCCATACATTGTGATAATCATGTGAAAATAGTACCAACTCTAGTTGATAAGGTAGAAATAACTGTATCCTGCTGTGTAGTATCCGGTGTTTACTGATTTACCTTCAGGAGGTACCTGTGTCAAATCAAGGTCAAGAGCCATATACCCTCACTGAGATTTTTCATTGTTTTACTCAGTTCCTCCAGTAAAATGCTGGGATAGTGTCTAGAAAAGGCTTTGACCCTCTCCTACCAGAGTGAATTTTAGGAAAAGCATAACAACATTACAACTCGGTGTGAAGGAAATGGAAAATTTTACTGCACAGGTTGTATCCTAGGGTTAAGTTCTGAATGTTCATTTGTTACTTCATGGGAGTCTTATTATACATTTGTGGGTGGTGTGTTGTTTCAGCAGAAATACTGTACCTATTGTTTTATAATCTTGCAGTGTATAACTGAAAGTACCAGTCCCTTTAAGTCATTAGCAGCAGTTCCAGACGGAGTCATTAATGTCATCTACTTGGAAAATGTATTGATTTAAATTAAATAGCACCATATAAATCAAAAGGAAAGGGAAGTTTTAAATTAATTCTGCACTTTTAAGTACAAAAATATTATTTTTTTTTATCATAAAGTTCTATTGTGACCCTTATGCAAAGCTGATGATTGTACATGTAAGCTTGGTATGTACATTTCTTGACATACATAGGTAAGTCAATAAGAAAGTTACAAATGGATATAGAACTTAAACAAATAAGAGTACTGATTTGAAAATGCTTTTATTTCTCAACATAATCTCCCTGTACATTGAGGCACTTATCCCATCGTTTCACAAGCCCCTGAAAACCAGCAGCATAAAATTCTTTGGGCTGCTGTTGGAACCAGGCAGTGAATTCCCTTTCTACAGCTTCATCATCGGGAAAATGTTCAGCCAAAAGATGATGTTTAAGAGGGCCAAACAAATGGAAGTCGCTGGGAGCAAGGCCGGGGCTATATGGAGGATGGTCGAGGATTTCCCACTTGAAATTTCGCAGCGTCTCATTTGTCCTGTTGGCAGTATGGGGACACGCGTTATCATGCAAGAGCAACACACCTTTGGTGAGGAGTCCTGGTCGCTTCCGTTGAATGGCCTTATGAAGTTTCCAAGCAACTTCATTTGTTCGGCCCTCCTAAACATCATCTTTCGGCTAAACATTTTGCTGACAATGAAGCTGTAGAAAGGGAAGTCACCGCCTGATTCCAGCAACCCAAAGAATTATATGCTGCTGGTTTTCAGGGGCTTGTGAAAGACTGTGCCCATCACCTTCGCAGCTGATGGCACTGTCTTTGCCTTCTTTTTTGATGGAGGATGCAAATGGTGCCATTCCATACTCTCCCATTTCATTTCAGGCTCGAAATGGTGAAACCAGCTTTCCTCACCTGTCACAATACAGAGCAAAAAATCATCGCCTTCGTGTCGATATCTCTGCAGTAGTTATGAGGTGATGGCTTTTCGCTGACCTTTGTGGTCTTCAGTCAATAACTGCAGGACCCAATGAGCACAAACTTTCCTATAGCCCAAGCTTTCAATCATCTCCTGTACTGCACTGTGCCCTATTCCAAGTTTTTGGGCTATTGTGTCCACAGTCACACGCATGTCATCTTGAATGATCTATCCACTCTTTCCTTATTGCGTTCAGTTGAGGCTATTCGAGGACGACCGCTCCAAGGCTCATCTTCGATGCTGGTGTTCCCATCTTTAAAATGTTTCACCCATCTTAGAACACTGCTCACGCCCATGCACACACTTCCATAAGCACGCTGAAGTCTCTGGTGAATTTCTGCAGCAGGGAATTCCTCTTTCACAGGAAATTCGATGACAGCACGCTGGCAAAACGACATATCATCGGACATTTTGTTAGGAATGATACTTTTCACGTGATGCAAGCTGTTGCCGTCACAGGACACTCAAGGTTAACACAACAGCTGGTTCCACCTACCACCATACTCTCTTTTCATCTGCTGTTCCCAGGTTGCATGCAAAAAAAGTTGCTCATGACTTTTGGTACGACCTACGTACATTGAAACCCCCATTTATGGCTTCCTTGGGGAACAGTGGTTTTGGACATTAAACTGAGGAAAGCATTAAATGAAGAAAATCTGAAACTGAGATTATTGTCTTGGGGACATTGAAACTTAAACCTTAAATGAGGAGAAACCTTAATCAAGCAACATTAATTGGGGGTTCCACTGTATGTATGCTTGTCCCGACTTTTTACTGTGTATACATTTCTGAGCTATTGTTCTAATAAAATAAATTCATTGCAGTCAAACCTTGCTGTGGAAGAATATCGTGTGAACAGAGAAAGATTCAATGGTCTTTCATGCACTTGGTATACACCTTCAGGAAAGAATCCTGGTCGCCTGTTCCACTGTTCTACAAGCAATGCAACAGCCGTAGTTGGGTCTAAGGTATGTTGTTTCACCTAACGTTTCATATTTCATGGTCACACTCTTCAGCCCATTTTATTACGTCATTTAAATTATTAAGGGGTAGATGGACAAAAGATGAAGCCTGGACGTAACAAGACAGAAATATGTCATTTAAGTTGAAAATCGTGTGTGTTTAAACCATTTGGAAACTGGATACAGGTGGAAGGCTAATGAATGTTAGTGAAAGTGAATATGATAGTGTGAACTGGATTGAACTGGCAAGGACAAGGCCTGATGGTCATATTGACAGTAACGGTGACTAGTTAGAGCATTTTTATGTTGTACCGTTAACATGTACCTAACATAACTACTTCAAATAAGCCTTGTATTAGATTCTATTCTCAGGTATTTCGCTGATTTTTCTTTGTTTTACTCTTCTTCCATTTAAGATTGGCACCTCTGGTCATTATCCCTGTTGGAATTTCTGAGGTTTTTCATGGTGTTCATGTTCATTTCAGGTCAATGTCTAGATATTAACTTGAAGTCAGCCACCACTGTTTACTCTGCAGTAATTTCAGTCCTCTGTAGAATCACTCATCTTATTCATTGCTGCATAACCTTGCATGAGATTTGGCAACATTAAATAACTGTCATAAATGCAGATAGATAAGTAATATATTATGCATCTCTGAGTAATTACAAATGGCCACTGTTTACATTACCATCCGACATGTTGCAGGGTGTGTCCAGTGGTGTATTGTACCTTACTGCCTGTAGACTCACATGGGATACTCTTAGTGTGATCCCATGCATTGCAGCCCTTCTGCCAGTAGCTTCACTTCCGTAGGCATAGCCTGCTGTTTTGTTAAAGGCACACAGCCCTCTTCACGAAGTTTAGGTGGCGGCCTTCTTGAGTTAAGAGATTCTGGATATCAGAGAAAGGAAGAACTCAGCTACACCTAGAGCGTTTAGGAAGAGGCAGTTAAAACCTATATACATGGAACAAACCAACACCACTTACAGGCAGGGCAAGCGGCCTCCGTAGTCTGGGGGTAACGTTCCCACCTCATGACTCAAGGTACGCGGGTTCAAACCTGGCAGAGGTTGTGGAATTTTTAAGGGCGGAAAAATTCAGGGAACAAGTCCACTGGGAGGGACTTTAAGCCGTGTGTCCTGTGTTGTAGATTTACGGCACGTAAAAGAACCTCATGTCTTTAGGAGACCTCTGAGCTAAATTACAGGCCCTTTCCCACCCAAGTAGTCTCCAATACCTCTGGTGGATGGGGGAAGCATCAAGGTACTGGGGGCCGACCTCGTTGGCTCTACGGGGGCTGATGGCACGCACCGTTATCGGTAGGGTATGGCGACAGTAGAAAATAAAAGGGGGACGCACAATGGACCAATAACTGGTCTAAGTGCATGGGGTAACCCACCCCCTCTCATAATACATACATACATCCAGGCGGGGCAGAGAACAGAGTCCAAGGAGCATACCTGCCCTAACACAGTTCGAAACTACATATAAACAAAACCCATGCCACTGCAAAAGGAATCCAAACACAACGATAGTTGGATAAAGAACGACAGCCCCCAAGTAAAAATTCTGAAATTGTAACTGCTTTTAATGATTTTTAGTGATTTTAATAGAGTAGGTTTATTTTAAGCGTGAGATATCACATTTACATGCAGTTGCACGCATTATGCAGTGAAACAGTTTTAGCAAACAGTGACACCTGATGCTGGCCATATGCGGCCGAAACGTTTAGTGGAAAGAAAGGGAGCCAATAAACAGGTTAGATTGTGGACAGAAGTGTAATGTGTGAATGAAGCAGTTAAGCCTATTCCTGCATAGTTCAGGATGATGAAGAAATGATCTGTTATCTGTCTGTTGGGAAGTTCATTGTGTAGATGAAATATCCGGTTTTTGTCATCTGTTTCTTCCTCTGTAGTCCAGGCGATTGTGAGTATTATGTGTTTTTCAAACTATACAACCTTTTTGCTTTTACAATACCAAAATTCTGTTTATGTAATAAGAGAAGTTCTGTTGTCTCTTTAGATCATAGAAGCTTCCATCCATATACCCCCTTCTTTGTTTTACCAACTTGAGATGCAAGGGTACACTGTGAAGTCTGGACAGCAGCTGCTGGTATCCATGTATGAGAATAGCAGACTGTTCCCACGAAAGCTCCCAGATTCATCCCAGCAAGATGGCAGAGATATTACGTCATGTGTTATTGGCACAAAATTAGGTGAGAACCGCATTCATAATTTTGATAATTTTAATAAACTGGCTCATAGGTTTATTGCAGTTAATTTAGAAATTACTTCATCCATGTCTAATATCATTTTCATGTAAGGTCATCAGAAAAGTTCTCTGGAGTTGATAAAATACCTGAAGCCCTTTCATATCAGACTGAATAAACTTTGAAAATTACTAAGCCAATCGGAGGGGTATATCATGCCCTTTCATAAGTATATTTTGAACTTTCTTCGCTGTAACGTGTTTGCCCCCCAAAAAATTAGTTGCCATGATTTTTGAAGTAACCCACGTATTTGAATTTTTATAGTGGGAATGGAAGTTCAGAACTTAACACATCCTGTATATATAATGCTTCGAGCTCCATTGCTTCACCATTCATCCGATTCACCAAAACCTGTGTGGTGGGATGCATCCTTGAACAATGGCACAGGTAGCTGGAGTCAAACAGGGTGTCAGCTGTCTCATCTCTTACATGGCCTGCTGGTGTTCCAGTGCAATAGATTTGGCTACTTTGGGCTCCTACAGAAAGATACCTTTCTTTATGACAATATGGGAAGGTGAGAATATCCAGTAACCACCATTTCAGCATTTTGTAACTGAGTGGACATTAAATTGTTTTATATTGATATCTGCTCCAGTACTGATGTCTTTGAAAAGTAATACTTCAAATAATTTGAATTTATATTGTTTACCAAATTTGTTTTTAGTTCAGGTTTGAAACTTAAGGAAAAATAGCTGCTATTCACGTGACATTGCTCTGCTTGCAGTCCTTCTGTCAATTTGAGGCCAAAACTAAACTACCATCCTCCTTACTCAGGTTTTTGTATAAAAATACAGTGGAACCTTGCTTAACGAGCATAATTCGTTCCAGAATCTTACTCGTAATGCGAAACACTCGTTAAGCGAAACAGTTTTTCCCATATAAATTAATGTAACGTACGATAATGTGTTCCATGCCAAAAAAAAATACTCGAAAAATTTTATGTATAATGTTTATTCAAAGAAAATATATGTACATTGTTAATTAAAACTTGCGTGTGGTTCATTAATTAAGACACATAAGATGAATAATCTTAACAAGTTTTAGTGAGTGTAAATTTAGTATAGTTGACAAATACACACTTTTTAAATACCTTTTAAATGGATTTGCGAAGACATATGAAGGCAAGCAATGCAGTAGATTGGCGTAATTAGGGCACCTGATGATGGCACTGGGTTGCCGAAACATGTCGTGAAGTAACAGGTGAAATTGAGTGCACTACAAGATGGCCACTGTATACATGTCATAGCTGTTATTATTTATAGGATACTTTTTGCCTCAAGTTACCTGTAGAATGTGTTCCCAAAACCTTTCCATTGTATGGGAGACATTAGTTTTGTGCGTGTATGCATGCATGCGCACTTGCCTCCCGACCTAAAGAGACCGAATTTGGGAAGACTCCTGAAGTGTTAGAAGGATTCTGTTTTGTGATATCTTTAAGAGGTCTCAAAGAGTCCTAATATTGAAAAGGATGAGGATCATTTCTAGATATCAAAGGATATGAAATTTGCATTGTTCCTGTTTCTCTACTCCTTTCTTTTTAAGTACCATGAGTTACTGATGTTAACAGATTTTATTTTGTTATGATAATTGAAGTCTTTATTAGTAAATGGCAAAGGAACAGAATTTCTGTTCATAGAAGTGAAATGTTCGTTCGTTTGAATTTTATAATTTCAGAATTACCATCTATTTACATTATGGAGCTTGATGGAGAATGAAAAATTCACTATTTTGTAAACTGAACATCATTCTTGTATGTGACAGTATCATAAAACTGACATTTTAATGTAAATATATTTTTCTCAGGGTGGCTGGAGCCAAATTTAGATTTTCACATCCTGCAGTTTATGTTGGCAGCATAGTTGGAGTTATAAGCTTAATGGTGGCCATTGTGACATATGTAATCTGCCATGCTTCCATTCAGATGTCAAAGAAAACAAAGCACTCTCTGGTCAACACTTGGATAGCAATGGCTCTCCTCTGTTTCATGTACAGGTAAGAAACAGCTTCACTCATGTGTTTCTCATTTATGAATGGTTTAGCTAAATACAACATAAATATAAAATTGCTATAATTATCCCTTTTCATGCCCAGTTTTTAGAAAATGGAACGTTCTTCTGTTATTGTATATTCATAGTACTAAATTATTCTGCCACTGAATAGCCTCAGATAGCTCAACATGTTGAGGGGCAGTGAGAGAAATTCCTTTGATTGATGTTGTCAAACACTACATGACCTCAGTACAGAGTGGCAGAGATTTCTAATCGAGGTATCTTGTACATAACTTCAAAAGGGTTGAACTCATGCAAGTCTGAGGTTGATAATTTTGTAATGACTGGAAAAGCTAAAGGTTGATAAGAGACTTTGATTCATTATGTGGCAGTAAAAAGGGTTTCAGCCTCCTCTTCCAGTAGTACAAAAGAACTGTGGACCTGTAATAAAGTGACGTTTGCTGTATATTTATTCATGCATTTATGGTTTATTCAACAACATTGTCAGCAGTTCACTGCAAATGGTAAAGTGATTATTAAATAATAAATTGGAAAGGAGGTGGAAAGAAGCAGTATTGGCTTACTTTTCGTTAGGATAGTCAGTGTTCCAGCTGATGTTTGAATTGAGTACCTACCAAATACAGGAAAGAATTGTTACTGCTCAAGTCAACTTGCATGGTCATTATACATTTACTTTTTTCAGATGTAAAGATTTAACCTTTCAAATAAAAAGAATTTTTTGACTGATAATAAAAACATTTGCATAAAATGGCATCATCAGTTGCATTGATCTAACCCTTTCACTATTTTGGATTGCTAAATGCAGCTGCCCTATGCTGCAGAAGCCAGGAACTACAGCAGTGGTACAAAATATTTCACACCTGATACAGAAGTCATGGTAACTGTGTTTTATGGACATACAAAATCTGTATAGCATATTTTTCATATATATATATATAGTCTTTTGATACTGATGCTGGAAGAGTTAAGAATGCATACACATGTGATTTGATCCTGAAATGAAGGCTCAGATAATCCACTGTACCATTTTTGGAATATGTTCTGTATCAGTCTCTAGGGACATCTGTGATAACTAACATTGCTGTTCAAGAAACAGGGCACAGAAGCAATGCATGTAATATAGTTTCTAGTAGCTAGTGATTATTCACTTCATTTTGTTGATAGGTAGAGTTAGTAAACTTTATTATGTACTTCCAGTTTGGGTATCCATCAAACAGAGGATGTGAAGATATGTCAAGGAGTAGGATTGCTCCTCCATTATCTGACATTATCATCTTTATTGTGGATGGCTGTTACAGCCAGGTGGGTTGCTGAACTGATCATTTGATATATATTAATGAAGTAACATGTTTGTTGTGCTTGTTAGGAAATGGGAATTTCAGAATTTTATGTGGAATATGTTTTCAGTTTATTTGGCTTTTCTTCAAGAGTTTACGAGTATGTGAGATGACAGTCACATTGTTAGATTTCATAATTATCAGGTAAAGGAAATGTGTAGTAATGTAAGTGTACAGATGAGGAAGGTATGTATTTCTTGAATTGATGAGATTCTCCAAGATGGAGAAGGCATGGACGTGGGGACTTTGAGTGTGGAAACATCGGCTGTGGCATGGTGTCGGGCACAAGGAGTGCAGGAATGAAGTTTGTAATGTGTAGCAAATGCCTGTTTTTTACAGAATAATTTCTTCTTTCCTGTGTGCCCATCATTCATAGGCTCCCTTGGTTTTGTATTTGTTCTTTTAATCATATTCTCTTCACACAGTACAGTATAGTAAAATGAAAAGGGTACTGCCCCTTATGACATACTAAAACAGAAAAATCTCATCCTAAATGCAAATACCCAATAAAAACTAGGTTCAAACACTCTCTGTTAGTGTTTGAAATAAAATGGGCAGTGGATCAGTAAGTACGTGTGTGAAGTTTCTGCTCTTCATCATGGTCCCAGTATAATTACTTATTGCTGAGATCCACTTTGTAATAATGAATGATGCCATGTTGTTGGAATTGATTGTGTTATTCAGAATATTTATTTCATTATGTAAACAGTAAAGTTGTCCCTGTACTTACTCAATTAAGCACTATGCCGTGAAGGTTTATGGGGGAGTGGATGTGGGTTAGCACAGTTGGTATAGTGACTGGCTATGGGCTGGATGACTGAGGGGTCAGAGTTTTAGTGCCAGCAGGGTCAAGAATTTTCACTTCTCCATGTCATCCAGACTGGATCTGGGGGTCCACCAAACCTCCTATCCAAGGGGTACCAGGTGCTCTTTCCCCAGGGGTAAAGGGGACAGGGTGTGAACCTGACCACTTACCTCCAGCTATTGCCGAGTTCAGGAAAACGTGGGTGTATACATTTATTTCATTAAGACAATATAAGCTTATATTTTATCACTCATAATAATTTCCTGACCAATTCCATGTTACCAGTCTATTGAAGGTTGATACAGGTTCTCATGTTTAATACAAAATATGAAGATGTGAAGCATAAGTGATGAAGTGTTTCAATTTTTCAGCAACATGTACAAGAGGCTGACTAAGTCAGATTCATTGGATTCTGCACCTGAAGATGAACTTCCTCCTGAGCAGCCAGTGGCTCAGAAACCCCTCCTTGGCTTGTACCTGGTGGGCTGGGGCATTGCTCTCATTGTGTGTGGCATCTCAGGAGCTGTGAACATGAGGGAGTATGCAGGCTACTCCCATTGCTTCCTTATGCCAGGGCCTGCTCTCAGCGCAGTGTTTGTGCCCATGGGAGTTCTAGTGCTCTTCCTGTTAATCTTCTTTCTCCTTATATATTGTGGTATTCAAAACCTAGACACCAATGGACAGCTTTCTGAAGGCACCCAAGCAACAGAAAATGTAGATTTGGATTTGCTGGATTCCAATGTTGCAAATGCAGCAATGGCAGAACATACAAGTTTGCATAGTGCATCAACTCCAACAGCCTCTAGTGATGTGGAAGATACGGAACATTCACCACTGAGCCAGTTGAAAGCTCACATCATTGTTTTGTTTCTGTACCTCTTGATGTGGACCTCTGCTGCATTTGCTACCTCAAAACCATTGCAGAACTATCTGCCATATGAAGAGATTATTTTTAGCATTCTGTATGGTCTGTTGGCATCATGTTTGGGGATGTTTGTGTCGTTCTTCTACTGTGTAGCAAGGAGTGACGTACGAGCCCAGTGGCATCTGATGGAGTGCTGGTGCAGGAGGCGGCGTGGTCGTTGTTGCCGTACCAGGAGCATCTCTGACACGAATCCAGTTCTCCCAACATCCCAGACACTTGCACCAATTACTAATGTTGGACTACATGCTGGAAATCAAGGTCAACCTGTGTCTAGTTCTAACAGCATCAATTCCTCTGCCCACACTGCCAAGTCCCAAAATAGTAGTGTTGCCAAAGCTGCAGTGGAGTTGAACAGTACAGCAAAATGTGATTTTGAGTCTGGTGGAAATATTTCCAATGTTAACTTGGTAGTTCTTCATAGGCAGCAGTATCGTTCTAACAATAGTGTCACCACATTCACTGAAGCTTCTGGAGCAAGTGGAGCAGAGATGTTCTATAACCCCCACCAGAGTACAGTAGCACGTAAGTTCTTCAGGAAGCAGCGTCGACACATGAAACACAATAACTTAGGGGCACGGAGAAGGGGTGATGGCGGAGGGGGTACCAGTGATGGTGGCTCCAATACCCGAGCTGAAAGTGCTGTATTTCTTTCTTCAGACATGGAGAATGCTAGCGGGAATATGACACCCTGTATTTATGCCCAAGGCTCTAAGGTTAACAATACAAATATCCACATCGAACACTCACGTCACTCTTCTCGACACAAAGATTCTAAGGCACAGAATCCTAACATTTTGACTGACAGCGGAGGGGATGAAGGTGGTGTGGATAGCCACAGGTTGCCACTGGAGAGGCTGGTTATTGGTGCTGAAGAAAGTAGCATATCAACTCCACTGAATAATGACGGGACACCTAGAGGACCTAGCTCATGTTCTGGCTCGTTGCCGTCAGACAGAAGGATTAATTCTGTGGATGAAATGCCAGAGGAAGTAACTTTGCTGACCACAGATCTTAGCAAAATGGGGAATGAAGTACAACACATGAAAGACAAAGGTGACTGTAAACTGCAGTGTTGTTCAGACAGTTCATGTGACAGACCTCCAGTGCATAGGACAGACAGTATTGCATTGACAACGTCATGCAGTTTAGAGAATTCCAAGACTGAAGGTCAGCTTGGTGTTGTTTGCAGAATTGACAGTCCTGACGGGAATAGGGATGCAATGGTTTGGAATGCCAACTGCAGTGATACTAATGCATATCTAGGTACTGGAAATATGGATTCTGAACAGAAGCTCCATGATCATAATTCTTCTGCATCATCAAGTAGTGAACAAAAAAGTGGTGTGGTGAAACACGTGCATAACTCACTCCATGGGAAAAATCTAAAACATTCAGAAAAAGACAAATCTTTTAGTGATGTTGATAATATTGTTGAAATTGGTAAGGCATGTGTTAAAAGCCAGAAACCTGAAGTTTTGCTGAAGGGAAAGAAATTGAGTTTACTGTCTAGGAAACTAAATGGGTACAGTGGTGAAGAAGGTCAAGAATCTGACAATGTGCCAACGCTAAACAAAAAGGAGACCAGTGTTTAGAATGGGATATTTTATGTCTCCTGCCATTGAAATGCCAATGTTAATGACTGACCTATTGGAAGAGGTGTGACAAAAGACAGTACGACTCTCCAAATGTAGCATTGTAATCAAAGTTCCTGACAAGGTTGACAACTGTTGTAGATCCTATCAAGAAAGACGTTGGTTCAGTAGAATGAAAAGTAGGACTTTCAAGTATGTGGTAGTTTAAATCAGAAGTGCTGTGTTTGGTTCTGCTGAGGATAAAACTTCCAAGCTGGGTGCATTGGTAAGTATAGCAACTAAGGTCTGAGGATATTATAGCTTGTTTTCCACTTTTCTTTCAAATTAAGGAGTCAGAGGCTCACACTGCTGTCATGCTGGTACTTGTCAACACACAAAATACAGGAAGGATTTACAAAATTTGTAGTCTTCTTTATCATTTTCCAGTGTACCAGATGTGCTTAACTAGATTGGTTCTTTAGCACTCATCAAAAATTTGTCCCTGAAAGTAAATATTTTGGGACAGGGTGACTATAGATGGGGTTTGGATTGGTAATTTGAATTATTGCATAGTTACACAGCCTCTGTGGTCTAGTGGTCTAATGGTCAGAGTTCCTGGCTACAGATTCAGAGGTCCAGGTTCAATTCCCAGTGCTACCAAATTTTTATGAGAAGTGGGTCTGGAACAGGGTTGACTAAGCCTCGTGAGGATAATTGATGAGCTATTTCAAGGAAATAGCAGTTCCAGTCTAGAAAAACAAAATTAACGGCCATGGGGATTCGTTGCACTGACCATGCAACACCCTCTATCTGCTAAAGTTGGCACTAAGTTTGCCGACAAGTGGCGGTTGCTTGGTTGGTATAATTCACTTGTGGACCGAAACCACAGAGTTTTTTTAACACATCCTAGCACTCTTGCTTACCCACACACACTGCAGTTCACTACAGCATTCACCAAGTCTTCTGAGTCAGCTGTGTTTCCACTGGCTGTTGCCTGGTAACACTCCCAAAGCCATAGATCCCTTTGCTTTGGTGCTCCTGGGCTAACATCCTCACAGGCTGGCATCTGTTTCACAACAAGACTAACTTGGCATTGCTGTGCAACAACTTATAACAGTGGGGGTTCCTCCACCAGGGGTGACTATCTGTGATGACATCTGATGGGTCTGCCTGTCAGCTGCTGTCTGCAGACTCAAGATTCAGTAGACTCTAGACTGACTGGCTTGTCCTGTTGGTCCTCATGATGTAGCCTAGGGATGGACCCAACAGAAAACACTGTTATCCTCAGTTCCTCAGTTGTTGCATGACATCACTATTGGTGCAGACCCACACACATCATTCCCAGTGGCACTTTCATGGGTTACATTACATGGCATTATGTGTTCCATCATTGCACCGCTGTTTATTGTGCCATAGCCTAGTAATGGACATCTCTTCTGGTTGAACTATTCCAGCTTTCAGTGGACATGCCACGATATTTTATGTCACCCAGTTACGAAGTTATCTGCTATAGGGATTACGATCATACATTCACTTCATATATATAGGAATTATGTCTACCGTCAACACAACAAATACTCAGTTACTTACATTCACTGCCAATCATTTACATCAGATATTTTTTTAATGCCACAAAACTGTATGGTTATCTCCACATAGTGCCAAGGTCAAAAATGCATGCAACTTTGCCACCACTCTGTTAAAATGTGATGCTAAATTTTATAGATATCTCTACCACTTATTGTAACTTTGGCGTGATATGCATTGACATGATATACTTGATGAATTTTATAAAAGTCAGCCAGTTTGTTGAAAAATTATTTTTATTGGATGTAGGCTCACATACAAATGTGCAGCTGATTTTCTTTTTGGACACCTTTCTGAAAACTTACAATGAAGAGTATAGCAACTGTAGCAGCTGATTCAGGAACATAATCATGTTATGAACTAGTGCTTGTGAAATAGGTCATAGTGTTGTTATGATATTGTCAGGTTTTGTGCCCATCCAGCATTAAGGAATGCATTTCTGTGGTGGGAACATTCATGGCAGAGATTTTGCTACTTAACAATGTTAGAGTGATGGCAAGAGTGAAAACTGGCAGAGGGGACTTGTATTCAGCTCACTGACATGCAGGTTCATTTGATTTACTCAAAAGTACCTATTTAAAATGAAAATGTTTTGAAATAAATACCTAAAAATGATTACATACTTCTGGACAGGTGTAGTACATGTAATGAGTTTTTAAATATGTGGGTAAGTCAGTAAGTAAGTTACAGATGGATATAGAACTTAAACATATAAGAGTACTGATCTGAAAAATGCTTTTATTTCTCAACGTAATCTCCCTGTACATTGAGGCATTTGTCCCATCGTTTCACAAGCCACTGAAAACCAGCAGCATAAAATTCTTTGGGCAGCTGTCAGAACCAGGCGATGACTTCCCTTTCTACAGCTTCATCGTCGGGAAAATGTTCAGCTGAAAGATGATGTTTAGGGGCCGAACAAATGGAAGTCGCTTGGAACAAGTTCGGGTCTATACAGAGGATGCTCGAGGACTTCCCACTTGAAATTTCACAGCATTTCATTTGTCATGTTGGCAGTATGGGGACGCGCGTTGTCATGCAAGAGCAACATGTCTTTGGTGAGGAGTCCTAGTCGTTTCCGTTGAATGGCCTTATGGAGTTTCCTGAGGATGTTACAGTAGGAGTCAGTATTTACAGTTTATCATTGAGGCTGGAATGCGGTGAGCAGTATGCCTGGTTCCGACAGCAGCCCAAAGAATTTTATGCTGCTGGTTTTCAGGGGCTTGTGAAATGATGGGACAAGTGCTTCAGTGTACAGGGAGATTATGTTGAGAAATAAAAGCATTTTTCAAATCAGTACTCTTATATGTTTAAGTTCTATATCCATTTGTAACTTACTTATTGACTTACCCTCGTATTTGTTACAGTGACTGATTTGGTATATTAATATTATGTTGGACGTTGCTCATTGTCTGAGATGACATTTCAGGACTTGGCTGTATTTCCAGCTTCAGGTGACTGGTTGTCATTATGATGAAAGATATTTTTTAATATATTGTGACGTGTTGCACTATGCAGGACACCCCTCCCCCAGCCAGCAGCGAGTTACGAGTTGAATTGAATTGTAGTAGTCACCGAGTTCAGTTGTAACGAGTGAATACGTGTAGACTACTGAAGATAGAGTGAACAGATTATTGCGAATACAGTTATAAATTGTGAAACACTGCAACAGTGTGAATTGATTATTGCGAATAGGGTTATAAAGTGTGAAACCCCACAACAGTGTTGTAATTAATTGTAGCCAGTACTTGTAGGTTGTTAAATAAACCAATTAACAATCCGAACGGCGTCTTCAGTAATGAAACACATGACAACTGGTGTTTCAGAAGTGGGATTGGACTTACACACATGACCAACAAGATTCGAACTCAAGACATGTGACAGTTTGCTGTCAGAATTGGTTTTACGAACTTGAACATGCCTCAAGTTACAATGAGTTTTACACGGCCACATGATGAAAATTGAAGAAATGTTGGAATGCCTGCTGGCCGCCCAAGAAGATTTCATAGCAAAATTAGAAGCCGACTCGAAAGCCTGGCGAGAAGAGATGGCCACAGAAAGAAGAGCTACCCAAGCAGAAATAAGAGCTATCCAAGCAAGGACGGCTGCCATGCAAGGAAAAATGGGCACCAGCCACATGGAGACGGTGTCCGTGGCATAACAGGAAGAGGTCCCCATTGCAATACCGGTCATAGAACCTGAAGAAACAACAGATACCAGCAAAGAGACGACGGCCTGCCAAGAGATGGAGGCACGTCTAGAAGAAAAAGAGCCGACCTCAGTGGACAGGAAACCTGAGGTGGCCCAACAATGAGAAGTCCCAAACGAAAATGCCATAGTGAAACCGGTCAAAGGATGGAAGAAGCAGTATAGGGGCAAGAAGCAAGCTGCAGGTTGATGTGGAGAGCCACAGGAAGTCACCCGAGGAATTTCTGGATCCCGGATGAAGTTGGCCGCCGCCTGCAGGAAGGTGTCCCGCCGTGCAACAGTGGCATGGCGCAAGAGTAACATCCTCAGGAATTCGACCCAAGTAAAGTGTGGACCGCGGCATGAATTGGCTGCCGACAAGAAGATGACTAGCTGTGCAAATGTGACACAGCACAAGAGACTCGGACTTCAGGGAGATCAGTTGGAGTCACGCACAAGCCCGCATAAAGATTTGCCAAAGAAAGTATGAGAAGGACTTCAACATTAGAGGACACAAGGACTCGTCCTGAAAGGGTAATTCAAGGCATGTGCAAGTGCACAAGCAGACGTGCTGCATGGAATCCCAGCTGACGCAAACATTGAAAACTGGACACTGGAGGGGTCGACCCCCTCCAAAACGAAAAAAGAAGCAGAGCATAGAAGAGGAGCCGGTAAAATAGAAGAACCAGCCTCCCCAGAGAGAGTGAATGTGCCATGGGAGAAAGCGATGGATGAATGGAATACAACTGGATCTTCTGGCAAATTAAAAGGAAACCACTCGAGACGAGCTGGTCTTAAGAGGAGAGCGGTTGTAATGGCCGGATAATAGTCGCTGCGAGGAGTAGCTGAAACAACAGGAGACCCACCAAGCACATCCTTGGAAGAAAAGGAACGGGGGTGCAACATTAGGCTATTCGGGACGAACAGCCATAAGGAGGGAGCAGTGTGACATGTTGCGCTATGCAGGACACCCCTCCCCCCGCCAGCGGTGATGTAACACAATCGAATCGCTGTCGTTACTAAGGTAGCAGGCAAGTCAACACCCCTTCCCCTATCCCGCCAGCGGTGATGTGGCCAAGGGATGCCACGGTTGCTATGCAGCCGTAAACAACTCACGATAGCATTGCCAGTGACACCTGTAACCACAGCGCCAGACAACAGTGGTGCCTATTACATGGCTGTTGTCTGTGTTGTCTGGAACGAGGCTAAATTAGGAGCAGCGAAGACTATTCACAGTTAGTTACGAGTTACGAGCTGACCAGGGAAGAGTATGCAGTCTAGTATTTGTGATACTGCAGATAGGAGTAGTTGTGAGATTCTAATTTGTGTGATTGTAGGAGTGTGTGAAATAAAATTTGCTATATCCAGCGCGGCGTGAATTTATTTGTCGCGTATACACCCAACACGTGACAATATATTATAATACATAAGTAAGTCAATAATTATCCACAATGTAGCTATAAATTTATTTCAATACAAATAGAAAACTTACATTAACATCATTTTTCAACATAGTCCCCTTGCTTTTCAACGCACTTGGTCCATCGTTGCACAAGCTTCCTGATGCCCTCAGAAAAGAAGGTTTTCGGCTGAGCAGCGAGCCACGCATGCACCACTTCCTTCACTTCATGGTCTGAGGTGAAGCGACGGTCCTTTAATGCCTCTTTGAGTGGACCAAACAAGTGGCAGTCAGAAGGGGAGAGATCAGGACTATACAGAGGATGAGCCATTACATCAAACTTGAGTTTCCATAGGGTTTCAGCAGTGTGGGTAGCAGTATGTGGACGGGCATTGTTGTGCAACAAC